CCACACAGACACACACACAGACACACACACGTACACACAAACATTTGTTGTAATCGTATCTGTTCACGTATCGGTAATAACACCTGTTTAGTATGTCACCATCTAAATGTGGTTGAACATGGTATTTCCAAACTTGTATTTCTGAGTTTAATTTTTTATCTTAGTTTTTTGGTATTTGTGTATTTGTTTGTATGTTTGTATGTTTGTATATGTTTGCTGATGAATGTTTACATAAATATCAAAACTTAACATACGTATATGTTTGTTAGTACGTTTATGTACGAACGTATGTATATTTCTGTGCATGTATCTATGTAAGTTTGTTGATTTGTTTGTATGTGTGTGTGTGTGTATGTATGAATGTATTATTATTATTATTACTGATTTTTTTTATTATTATTATTTTATTGCTTTTTTAATTCGATAAGAGGAGGCGAATGAAGAATGGCAGTTGGCGTAAAATTCAGTTATGAAGTATGTATGTATGTGTATGTATGTATGTATGTATGTATGTATGTATGTATGTATGTATGTATGTATGTATGTATGTATGTATGTATGTATGTATGTATGTATGTATGAATATGTGTGTGTGTGGTGCGTGTGTGCGTGTACTTGAAATGCATGCAACTCTTTGGAGTATAACCGCCTTCAGTATTTTTTAATTTATCTATTTATACCTTTCCACAAGATAGAAAGTTCGAAAGAGATTTTTAGTTTTGTGAAAACAAAGAAAGAATTAACAAAAAAAAAAATTGTCGAAATAACGAGTTGGCATCGAGTTGACTCTTGCAAAAAAGAAAACAATTTCTTTCGAACTCTTATCAAATCACGATTGGTTTAAAAAAAAATGTAGTTTCAACTTTGAATTCTAACTTTTGTAACTGTGAAAAAGTTGAACGACTGAAAAAACGAAGGAAGGAATGAATTGATGAATGTATGGAGTGATAAATGGATAGATAGATAGATAGATAGAGAGATAGACTAAATAGATAGACTAAATAGATAGATAGATATTTATTTGTGTACATAGATAGATAGATAGTGAAAATAAAAGATAGATAGTGAAAATAAAAGAAAGTCAGAAGAGAAAATGAAAATATAGATGAACGCACGAATGAAATTTTTCATTTCCTCTTTTTATTTCCCGAGACAACTGACGTCAGAAGCAACATGTTTAAAAGTGGACTTTTTTCCATTTTTTTTTAAACAACAAAAACCACCAGCAATAACAACCAAAAACAACAACAACAATTGCAAGAACAACAACCAACAACAACAATAGCATCAACAACACAACAACAACAACAATTGCAAAAACAACAACCAACAACAACAATAGCAACAACAACACAACAACAACAATTGCAAGAACAACAACCAACAACAACAATAGCAACAACAACACAACAACAATTGCAAGAACAACAACCAACAACAACAATAGCAACAACAACACAACACCAACAATTGCAACAACTACCAATAACAATAGCAACAACAACAACAACAATGCAACAACAAGTCACACTGAATAAAACTTGAAGTAGAGTAATCCCGTGTCGTCATTAAACAGAAGAATTAAACATGGGGGATTTAGAATTTATTCATTTGGTTTCATCTCTCTCTCTCTCTCTCTCTCTCTCTCTCTCTCTCTCACTTTTCTCTCCCTCTTTTTCTTTCTCTCTCTATCTCTTTCACTTTTTCTTATTATCTCTTTTTTTTTATATTTTCTTTCTCTCTGTCTCTCTCTCTCTCTTACTCTCTCTGTCTCTCTCTTTCTCTGTCTCTCTCTTTCTTTCTCTCTTCCTTTTATTTTTTATCCTTTTTTAATCGTTCGTTCTTTTACTCATACATTCATCCATTTGATCAATCATTCGATCGATCATTCATTCATTCCTCTACTCATTCATTTCTTTACCTAAATTTTACTCGCATCGCTCTATCATTCATTCATTCGTTCGTTCGTTCGTTCGTTTGTTCGTTCGTTCGTTCGTTCGTTCGTTCATTCATTCATTCATTCATTCATTTATTTCAATTTTAGTCATTCTTTCATCCGTTTATGCCCCTGAAGATCATGTTTTATTTCATTTCACGAACAAAAAATGTTCAGATGAAATAAATTTGCATTACGATATTATTATTCTCATTCTTCATCTTTTCATTATTTTTCTTCTTCTTCTTCTCCTTCTTCTTCTTCTTCTTCTTTTTTTCTTCTTCTTCCCATTTTTCTTCTTATTCTTTTTCTTCTTAATATTATTATTAGTATTCTTATTAACATTATGGATCATTTTTTCAACGGGCTGTAGTTAAGATTTATCATTCACCATTTTTAACGTTAAATAAATGTTTTTTTTCCACAATTTCTCGCTCTCTCTCCCTCTCTCTCTCTCTTTCTCTCTCTATCTATCCATCTATCTATCTATCCATTTTTCTATCTATCTATCTAACTATCTATCTATCTTTCTCTTTTTATAAAATTAT